ATAGCAACTCCATCGGCAAATCTAGCAAGTAAAATCGTTTCCTTATATTCATGTCTAAATGGTGAAAATTGGATATTAGACTCAAGTGCTACTGACCATATGACCCATAACTTTCCTAATCTAGAATCTCGATTGCTAGTGATTCATCCATGACAACCTTTGTAAGCCTTCCAAATAGAATTAAAACTCCTATTAGACATGTTGGTTCTATCACACTAGAAAATGATTTGTGTCTTGAAAAAGTTTTTCATTTACCTGATTTTAAATATAACCTTTTATCAGTATCAAAGTTGACTTCATTTGGTAATTGCTCCATTACTTTTTATCCTGATTTTTGTGTCATTCATGATCTTTTGAGTTGCAAGTAGAAGGGGATTGGTAAGCAAAGCTAGGGACTATACTATTTTCCGCCTTTTTCAAAAATAAATTCGAACTCTTCACATTTAGGAACTAATAAAAGTGTTTGTACACCATCTTGTGGTACTAATGATGTATATATTGCTTCGTTAATAAAAAGGACTTGTTTTTCTTCAGCATCTCCTACACATTCTATAAAAAGTGATGTATCACTTTGGCATAATAGGCTGGGGCATGTATCCTATTCTGTTTTGAAGAAATTTCATCATGGTTTACATGAGATGGACACACTTCATTGTTCTATTTGTCCCTTAGGCAAGCAAACTAGGATACCTTTTCCATTGAGTACTACAACCATTTCTCATATTTTTAAGCTTTTGCATTTAGATGTGTGGGGGGGCCATATAAGACACCAACACAAGGTAATGCTAGATTTTTCCTTACTATTATGAATGACTATTCTATGACAACTTGGCTATTTCTCATACAGTATAAGTCTGATGTTTTCCAAACTTTCAAAAAATTTCTTCACATGATCTAGAATCAATTTTACCAAACTCCTAAATGCATTAGGACTAACAACAGTTTGGAATTTTTTAATCAACAATTCCATGATTTATTTCTTGAAAAAGGCATCATTTATCAAAGTACAAGTGTCTATACCCCACAACAAAATGGGGTGGTAGAAAGGAAACATAGGCATATCCTAGAAATTGCTAGAGCAGTCAAATTTCAGTCTTATATTCCAAATTATTTTTGGGAGTATTGTGTTAAGGCTACTGTCTATATTATAAATAGATTACCTACCAAAGTTCTTAATGGCATGTCACCTTATGAAAATTTTTTTGGTAAAAAACCTAAAATTGATCATTTAAGGATGTTTGGTTCCTTGGCATATGCTACTACTTTGACACCTAAAGACAAGCTATCCTCAAGATCCACTCCTTGTGTCTTCATAGGTTATTCTTCCACACAAAAAGGTTATATCTTGTATGATTAACATTCTAAAACTATTCATGTCCCTCGAGATGTGATTTTATATGAGACTATCTTTCCTTTTACTTGGAAACGGTCTAGTAAACAACATTTTTTTATCAGAAACCTTCATGGAGGAAGACTTTTCTAATTCATATTCTTCTAATTTTACTACTTGTCCTGAAGATACATGCATTTTACCAGTATTAGAACCAAATTCCTCTTTAACTCCTTATTCCTCACCTCTTCAATCCTCACAGCAACCTATAAATAATTATTCACCTCGAAAATCTAGTAGAACATCAAAACCACCAATATGGACCACTGACTTTATCTGTCCAACCTTGCCTAAATCCAATCTTACTTCTCTGGTTCAATATCCAATTCAGAATTACATTTCTTATGCTCACCTTTCCTCATCATATCAAAGCTGTTTGTCCAAAATTTATGCCCCTACTGAACCTACTACTTTAACCAAGCATCTAGAGATCCTAATTGGGTGGTTGCTATACAACAAGAGATTCAAGCTTTAGAAAGAAATGGCACTTGGTCTTTAGTTCCTCTGCCCCCTGGTAAGAGTCCAATCAATTGTAAGTGGATTTATAAGCTTAAGGCAGATGGTTCTTTGGAGAGATACAAGGCAAGATTAGTTTCCAAAGGTATACTCAACAGGTTGGAATTGACTATGAAGAGACTTTCTCTCCTGTGGTAACAATGGTAACAGTTAGGCTCGTTCTAGCTTTGGCTTCTATGAAAGATTGGCCTATTTACCACATAGATGTGGACAATGCTTTTTTGCAGGGTGATCTTCAAGAAGACATTTATATGACTCTTCCTCAAGGATTTTCTAAACAAGATGATAAGTCACTAGTGTGTAAACTACATAAATCACTCTATGGCTTAAAACAAGCTTCAAGAGATTGGAATTCCAACCTTACTACTGCCTTGCTATCTGGTGGATTTCAACAGTCTTCCTCGGATCATTCTTTCTTTTTCAAGAAAGTTCATTAACACATTGTTATTTTACTTGTATATGTGGATGATTTAGTCATTACCGGAAGTGTTGCATTCTCATTTTAAGCTCAAAGACTTGGGTTCATTGCGTTACTTTTTGGGTTTTGAGCTTGCTTGATCTTCTAAGGGTATTGGTTTATGTCAAAGAAAATATGCCTTGGAGTTAATTACAGCCTCAGGATTGTTTGTTGCTAAGCCTGTTGTATTTCCTTTGGATCAACATTCGAAATTTACTTCTATAGAGTATGACAAGTTGTTTCCTGGTATTGAAGTTCCTACCTTATCTAATCCTTTTGTGTTTCAAAGCTTATTGGCAAGTTGCTATATTTGTGTTTAACTAGGCTTGATTTGAGTTACTATGTCAACCTTTTGAGTCAGTTTATGCAACATCCAAAAAAATCTCAACTCACTACTGCTCTAAAAATTGTTAGATACATTATTAAAGCTTTTCCTGGTATGGGTTTATTTTCTCCAGCTCATGGTTATGCAGTTGCAGGGTTTTTGTGATTCAGATTAGGCATCATGCCTTATGACCAGCAAGTCAGTTACAAGTTATTGTATTTTTTTGGGTAATTCACTTAAGCCACTGTGTCTAAGTCCTCCTCTGAAGCTGGGTATAGAGCAATGGCTTCTACAGTTTGTGAGGTTGTCTGGCTCACACAACTTTTGATAGATCTTGGTTTTCCATTGTTGCTTCCTATTCCTCTCTTTTGTGACAATCAATATGCCTTCATATTGCTTCAAATCCCATGTTTCATGAGCGTACGAAGCATGTTGATATTGATTGTCACATTGTTAGTACTAAACTCAAGGAAGGATTGATCAAGACTTCTCATATTTCTACACATGAGCAACCTGCTAATTTGTTCACCAAGGCTATTAGCAGTACCCTTCATCAACATCTCTTATGCAAGTTGGGAGTGATTGATATTCATTACCCACCAACTTGACAGGGGTATTGGTATATTGCTTATTTACTGAAGTGGTTACAAGTTGTTACTATAGCAGTTAAGTTTGTTAAGATTAGTTTAGTTAGTTTGTTGGTTTACAGTTGTACAACTATGGTAAAAGAATAAACCATGGTTATTTTGTATTTTAAAAAAAAAAAAAAAAAACCACTCTCTATTGAATACAATCAGATTTGTTCTTCTGGAATTCTTCCTTCAATATTCCAAAACCTAATAGGATGGAATGAAATCCCCATGGGGACCCTATCCCCAAATGTTTAGATTTCTTTTGTTTTCTGCTTTATAATCACCATTTTGAAGACTTTATCCATTCAACATTGCGGGAATGGGGCCTAGAAGGGATTGTAATATTCATTCCAAAACGAAAGTAATTTGAACATAGCTTCTCATCCCTATCCCTAACATTTTGTTTAAATCTCCTTCCCACCTCATCATAAAAATTGTATCCCTAGAGGACCTAGGCGTGACATCTATATTTGGTTTCTTAATTAAACTTTTTTCTGGCAACATATAAAATAATAAATGACCGAAAGTGTAGGCATTGAATGGAAATTTGCTATACGAATAAAATGGGGTTGGTTTGAAAAGCAACGGAGAGAGAGAAATAGAGGAATTGCATAAAAACAATAATGGTAGTGGATTATAGGGGTGAACATACCTGGCATGCGCAGAAAAGCATGAATGAATTGAGGCATTAACAAATACAAAGTGGAGAGATATATAAAGGAATTAAAAGATGAAGTCAAATCAACCAAAGCCTTTTATAAGTCAACTGAAGAAGATATACATAAAACATTCAACTCTGTTTAACTCGCGTCTCAGTCTGAGTTGGAATACTGTCCCTAGTAGATAATGATGATGGATGGATTTCTATGCTCAATGGCTTATCTCTGTGTTTCATTTTTTATTATTGTTTCTTTTGAAAAGGAATAAAACTTGTGCAGAATAGATTAGTGTTAAGTTGAGCACATTGAATTATCTGGAAGAGTTTTGAGTTTTGCCTTGTCTTAATCACAATCCTGTTACGTACTAAAAAAATGGATGTTTATCTCATTTCTTCACTATTAGCCCCTTTGCATTGCATAATTAATTAAATGATTTTAAATGTCTTTCTAATTAAACTTTACAATACTTTTAAAATTATGCATATTGGAATTATATTTGACTTTTTGCACTGTTTTAAAACCCGGACCAGACCAGTCCGAGGGACCCAACAGCCTCACCGGTCCCGTTCAGGTTCCAGGGGGGTTTCTGCTATATTTCAAACTTATAAGGACTACTGGGAGTTTTCTAGAGGTGTTTTGCAATATTTCAAAATGTTAGGGACAATTTCTAATTACATTGGGCATTTTTTAAATGAATTAAAAATTTAGGAACTAACTTGTATTTTTTAGGGGTATTTTATATATATTAAAATTTAAGAGACTATTTTGTAATTTTTCTAAATATTTTTGTTGTTAATGTGACCAGTCCAAGCGGTTGGACCATGCCGGGTCTCACAACGTATCGGGTTTTAAAACCATGCTTCTTTGGCATTTTCCATTGAGGAAAAAAAATTCTAACTGAAAAATAAATAAATAAATAATGGAATGCACAACCAGTGGAGAATGGTGAGGAAAGCACATGTTTTTAGTTAAAAAACCAACTCCCTTTCATAGGATTAAACCATCAAAGCTTAGATCATCCATACAATAGAAAGGCCAAAGTAATTCATAAATTTAAATGCAAATTCTAAAAATAATTTGCATCCAACCAAATAGCATTATCAGTAAATAACAACAATTTCAGCCACTGTGGTAACAATTCTACTTGGAGAGAAAACGATGTTTCTTCTACTAAAATTTCATGGACTGGATCACTAAATACAAATAAAATCACAAGAAATTACAAAGAAAACAAATGTTAGGCAGAGGGCAGAGCGAAGAAACATCTCCAATGTAACTAAAAACTTACAACAGAAAGCTCTTTGGATGATAGGCTTTCTGCCAAATATAACATTGAAAAGGTACATTGGCCAAATCAGGAATGAGACTGCTGCTTACATAATCTCAAAAAAAAGTCACAACTCAGGTAGATATTAAGTATCGCGATCCTTTATTGCTAATAATACCCATGGCAAAAAAATCTTTCCTACGCAGCAACTGCTACCTTTTCTTTTTCTGGTTTCTCAATTCCTTGAATATCAATTATTCTCAACTTAGTAAGCTCCTGGACAAGATAATTTGATGTGTTATAATAAAATTTGAAAAAAATAAAAGCAAACACCAATTAACTTGCATACAGAAACAGACAATAGTTTAAACAGACCTGGCGATGTCCTTTGGTACGACGGTAATTCTTCCTTCTCTTTTTCTTAAAAATAATAACTTTTGCATCTAATGCCTGAAAGAAATTGAAAAAAACATATAGTAGTTAAGTTCAAATGCAAAACGAAAGTATTATATGAGGCAACCCATATTTCCCATCACACACTCCCTTCACCTTCTACTTTCTAAACTTCTGACAGATTCCACACACAATTTTAATCTCAAGGCTAAATCATTATAATCCAATTAATTCCGGAAAAAGATGACAACTATTAATTGGGGCAGGATTAAATAGATTTGATGTGAATTATATGCCACTCCCAAGTGGATAATCCCACTTGGAAAACACTTTCATTGGAAAGCTTATAATCGAATCAACAGAAATAAATAAACCATCTCAGCTTAACAACAGTATAAACTTTTTGTCGTTAGATAATGCTGTCAAAACATGAGGGAAGACAGAGAGAGCAAGAGATTCAGTATCACTTACGTGCTCCTCAACAACTGCATGAACTGTTGCATCTGGTACTATAGGCCTACCTACGATTGTTTGACTTTCTGAACCCAACAAGAGAACCTTATTTAAAATCAACTGCAATACAAATAGTCATGAAAAAGCAATTAACTATCAGATAAATAAGAAACAGAGAAAGAACAAATAAAATGTTTTACTTTTATTGGGCATATGTGCTCAACTCATCAGCGAACAACAGATTAGCACAACCCAATTTAATTTCACGTTATTGCCAATGCAATATTAGCCCCTAACAGGTAATGTACAAAACAGAGCCATAAGGCTTTGCATCGATCTAATACCATTTACATTTCAACATAAGGATCAATCTAACTCCATACAATTTGATAAATCATAGAACATCTTTGATAAGATTGTACACCAAGCCTACTGTATTTTCCATAACTGGAGCTATACATCAGTGATTAATAGTCCATTCATTTAACAGAAATTTCTCTTCAATTTGGGGCCTGCACATCCGTTGCAAAGCACTCTACCAACATATAATCAAAGCCTATTTTACAAGTAGAATCACCTTTACTCTCTACTCTCTCCCTCTTAGTATATAAATTAAGACTAAAAAAAAGGGCCTCTTGAACATGAAATCTCTTATATACTGAAAGCTAAAAAGCTTTATTTGCAGGAGTGACGGACCTCATGGAGGAAGCACAAATAAAAAGCAAACCAAGGGGAAAAACCTAGCATAGAACTCAGACCCAAATTTCCGTATCAAATGATCCTTTGAAATTGGGTTTTGAGTTGATCAATCAAACAATCTATTAAAACAGCAGGCCACGTTGTAGTGCAACAAAAGCATTGACACCAGAAAAGCAGTAATCTAGTAAACTCTACATCAGTAACAGAGAAAAATACATATAACCCAAAACCTAATTCTACATCATCTAGTGTCAAAAGATTCAAAACGCATAGCATCCTAGTCATCTGATTATCAGATTAAGCCACTGATATATTTCCTCTATGAATAGAATTTATACACCAACACAACACATTAATTAATATCAATATGCAAACTGTAACTTCAAACAAATTACAAAACCAGTAATTGAATTTCAAAAAATAATATAACAGTAATTGCGCATTGTACATTAATAAGCATATACAAAAGCAACCGACCTTGTCATTCACTTCACAGAACTTCAATCTCTCAGTAAAAATCGAATCCCCGTTGCTCACCTTAAACTGGTGAGACCCAATCTACCAAAAATAAAAACAAAAAAATTATATATTTAAAAATATATAAATCGCCCCATACATTTATAGTTTTATACATATCAACTCAAGTAAATATCACAAAATAGCACCTGAACAACAGCGAAAACTGGTTCATAAGGTTTAAAAACCCGATCCGATTTCTGCAGTGGACCAACCACTTTGTACCCAATCTCAGCCGCCTCAGCTTCTGTCTCTTCTACAGTATACTCCCGCAGCAACTCAGGGACAGTATCGTCATCTTCCTCTTCACCCGAACTCTCTCCGGTTTCGTCACCGTCGCCCTCATCGTCGTCATTTTTGTTAGAGCAGAAATGGCGAGAGTGGTACCAGGGGGTAGACCAAGAGGTGCCAAGCTTAGAAGAGAGGTGGGACTGGTGTTGGGTTCGGGTTAGGGTTTTAAAAGATATGAGGTTAGAAACAGATGGCGCAGGGGTTTTGAGAGAGATAAGAGCTGCTGCTTGGCGGCTTAGTGTGTGCAAGCACCGTCGGTGAGCCATGGATTGGTGGCGCTCACGGCGTTTGCGACGGTAGGGTTTAAGTAAAAGATACAAGATAGAAGGGGGTTTTGATGGTCTTGTTCCAGTGCCCGAGTTTATTCGGGCATGCGATCCGGACTAATTTTACGTTGACATCTTGGGCCCAATCGTGTTAAACCATGAGTTGGCCTGTGTGTTGTTTTTAAAAAAAATATATATAATTTTAATTAAATGGTTAAATCCAAAGGGATGGGATATTTCAACTTAAATTCTTTACACAAATTTTCAACGTAAATTCAATACAATCCAATGGCCTCCAAACTATTTTTCATATCCATTGGATTTTAATATGAAAATTTATGTCTAAATTTAAATTAAAAGATCTCATCCAGAAAGTAAATAGTTATAGGTGAAATTATGAATGGGCTACTTAGAGCAGTAAACCAATAGCTTTCTAAAAGAATTTTCATAAATTAGTATTTTGTATATTATTTCAAAATGACCTTTTCAAAGTTTCTTATATTAACTTCTTTTTCTTTGTACTTTTCTATTCAATAAGCTTACCTCTTTTATTCTTTTTTTTTTTTTTAAATATTTTCTTAATTGTAAACTTTTAATATTCAAACTAAAAAGTATAAATTGTATGTGTTTTTCATCACCATATTTTCTACAAAAATTAGAAAAGCTTCAACTTTGAGGAAACTTAAACCTCAAATCATTATTTAATTAAAATTTTAATATTAAGATTTAGTTTGAAATTGGTATTGATTTATTAAAAAAAAAAAAATTGTAGCTTTTTCATTTGTGTATACTTTAAAAAGGTAATTTATCATCATTTTCTTATTTAACATTCATTTGAAATATATAATTATTAAAAATTCATTTTCTTAATAATTTACATCTTTCAATGTACCTTAAATCCATTTTATGTGTAAAATTTTAATATTTTTAGAGAAATTTAAAGGGCATTTAACACAATTATTTATTAAATGTGTTTCTCCACTTATCAGTCCCTACTTCTCTTTCATCTCCATTAGGCATTGCATGATTTGCATCAATGGCCGTGATTTGTATTATAAATTTATATTAAGTTTTTGTGTTTTGATAGCCTAAACTTAAACTATTAACTAAGCTTTAATAGTGAAATGGTTATGTAAACAAGCATCAATCTTCATACCCTAAAATTTTCATGGCTATCAATCAAAATTGTGAAACCCTTGGTCCAATCTGACATGAACTTCAAGCCCAGGATGTGTCCACAGTATAACATATAAGTTCAACTGAACCCATTTAAATTTTTAGAAAAAAAATAAAATAAAATAAAAGTTTTATATTTTATAGGAAAATGTTACACCCATAATCTCTTCTCACAAACTTCCCCTTACAATCCCAACGTTACAACTCGTAACTGGTTAACTCATAATGGATCCTATCTGATAAATTACGACTGATCAATTACGAACTGTCACGTCAGAGTTGTAAAAGAAAGTTTGTAAAAAAAGATAGTGGTTGTAACATGACTCTTGTTTTATAATATTAACAATTTTGATCCTACTTAAAATCTTAAATTCATATTAAACCCACTCAAACATTAAAAAAATCAAAAAAAAAAATTTATATTTTATAATATTTACAATTTTAACCACACTTAAATTCATATTGACCCTACAAAATTTTATTGTGAATTTATCGTATTGAACACACTCATTAAAAATCCAAAAATCCTGGTTCCATGCCTATGTCCCTGTTCAGGCCCCGCAATAAAATGGTGGCTAAACTCTGAATCCCAGATGACCTTACCGCCACCATTATATAGGGTTGGTCTCTATAGATCCAACCATAGGAACGTTGTACTTAGCTTGAGATAGCATCATAAAGATACAGTTAAAAGCACCTGGTCATGAAAAGAACAGTAGCTGCATCAGGAGCTGAATCTGCGACAGCAATCCAAGAGCACATACCAAACGTAAACTAAGTTCCCACTTACAACTTATGTAACAAGCTACACCAAACAAGAAGTGTAGGAATATTAGCTAATAAGAACGCCCATAGCATTGAATTTTGGGCAGTATCCCCCTATCCCTATCCCTATGGTGATTCTGCAAAATTTGTTTGTCGTAATTACCAAGTTTACATGGCTAATTTTATTTCATGTATGTGCTTGATGTAATTTCGACTCATTCACCATATGAAGAGTACATAGTAGTTAGAAAAGACCTTCAACTTGGTCAGGAGATAATCAAGACAGACATTTTACAGATTTTCAGTCGAGATTGAGGGGACAAATGTAATTCAAAACCTCAAAACTGCTAGGTTATCAATCACCATATCATCGATGCCTGCCAACTGCTGAACCTGGGTTTACTTGCAGAGGTTCAGATGTGTCTAGCTAATAGTTTTTCTATATAAATTGCAAAACTTTAATTGTATGTTGGAGTTAAGGGAAATCTTCTCTCCTTATTTGCTTTTAAGAAAATTGGTTTAAATGAAGATTACAGTTACGTGCCACTGTTCTTATAAGAGAAAACTACAAAATTAATTAGCATATCCATATCACAGATCCGTGAATCATGTCATTTACAAGCATAAGTGGTTAAAATGTTAATATTATATGGTGCAAGCAAAACAAAATTCAAAGAAGATTACTTATAAAGTACACATACGTTTATCAAAGAAGAAAGCATTCAAGATATCACATAATGATCTCTAAAGCACTCAAAATATTATGAATCCACCAACTCATCAGATATACAAGAGTAGTTTTCTATGTTATACAGGATCGTGATAAAGATGAATGACCAAAGAAAATATGCAGATATAAAAGACCAGCAATTACCTGGTCAGAGACTCTAGCTCCAAAAAAAAAGAATTCTACCGCTTGAGCTCAGCGCCACAGCCATAGTGACATTAAACCTTCTTGATCCATCTTGGGATGTTTATTAGCAATTTCCACATTAACATGCTCTTCAATGAAAAACTTATCCTCTCCAAATTACGGCTCCATCCTCTGACTACTTTTGCTACTGTTATTTGAGCAAGTAAAGACATACTTTAGCTGTGTTTGTTAAATATCTAAGCAAGAAATGGCTTTGCTTTCCCCACCTATGTACAATTTGAGCATAGAATGCACCAACTTCATTGTCAAGACCTTTTTAACACAAAAAAGCTCCAACTCACTAAATAACAAAAAGAACAGAAAACGCTTCACATTGCCACTGCTCGCACAAAGTCTCCAAATCCCCAAATCTTCAATTGTAACAGGCTTCTAGCTCTATAATATTTTCATACACTATTGTTCAACATCAAACTACAGAATCAAATATCACAACTCATCAAAACACTAAAATATTTCTTCCCACCCTAAATCAAATTCAATATACAATGGTCCATGACATCTCCTCGAATTGGCTACCTTCAAACTCCATATCCAAAGTTACAATAAGAGAACTGAAATAAAAATATTAAAAGCTTCACAATCTAGTTAAAAGTATAGAACAATTGCATTCAAAACCAAATTTTGACTCACCCACACTAATCCAAATCACACATCACCAAAAAACATTAAAACTTAATGATGGCCAATAGAACAAGAATGTGCAGTGACACATCAGGTTCTTCATCATTGATTCCCTTTTTTTTTTTTTTTTTTTTTTTTACATTAATAACTACAGAGCATTAAAAATTTACCCAATACTCTACACCATTTAACAGAATAATCTACATAAAAATATAAACAAGATTAAAACTAATCATACTTTTCTCTCCAGGAATACACAAGGAAGAACACCCACGAAAGAGCCAGAATAACATCACCAAAAGTCTTCATCAGCCAATCCCAAGCTAAATACTCAACCTTTCTCTCAAAGTAAACCCTCCACAACGCCATAAATATATGCAAAATGGTACACCCTTTGGCGAAAAACGACTGAAACCCTTTATCCCTAACGAAAGAAACCATGAAGAGTAAGAACCCGATTGTGAACAGGAGCAGACCCGAGAAGGAATCGGAGGTCTGGATTAAAAGCTGGTCATGCGGGTTGGACCCCAGCAGTTTTGTCGCAGTTTCCAGTCCGTGCGTGAACGTGTAGATTTCCTTCATGTGGAAAATCATCAGGGCCCCGCTGGTTAAGGCGATCAGAGAGTGGAGAAGACAGATCACCACGAAAGCTGCCGATGATGATGATGCTGAGGACGAAGACATTTGTGGGTTGATTTTTGATCGGAGGGTGATCAACGTTTGGGTGGCGTAGGCATGGCTGTGTTGAAGCACAAATAAAAAAAGAAAACTAAAAAACTAAAAAGAAAATAAGAATAAAACAACTGGGCGGAATCGAAGAACACTTCTTCATTTTTATGTTCTAGTTTTCGTGAAGATTCTGAGACTTAAATTTTGGGTCTGATGAGAATCAGGTTTAGTAAGATAGATAAGTATCTAGAGGGACCTACGAGTGGACAGGGGAATTGAAGAGGCTGTCATTTTGAGAACACGTGGAACATTCTGAGTAATGCCGACAGGCATAGATTACGTTTTAGTTGGCCCTTAAGCAGAGTTAAGGTGTAGTTTTAAATAGCCTTTAAATTTTACTTTTTAATTCATTAATGTTGGCAAATATTTTATCAAATGCATAAATATTTTAAGATAATTACTGATTAGAGAGATTTCACACTAACTACCCCGGGATAGTTGAATGGTTGGATAAAGATGTCGAGTATACTATTTAAGTGGTCTTAAATTTGAATCTTTTCTCAAGTGTTAATAAGGATTAGTTTATCTATGGGTAATTTTAAGTTCCAAAGTTATAGGGAATTAGTTGATTGGCTGATAGTTCTAGGTTTTAAGATTATGAGGGATTAATTGATCAACTGATAGTTTTAGGTTCTAGGATCCATTTCAGGTTCTAGGGTCTCGAAGGATTAGTTGATCGGTTGGTAGCTTTAGGTTCCAGTGTCCTAAAGGATTAGTTGACCGACTGATAGTTCTAGGTTCTAGGGTCCTAGGAGATTAGTTGATCGGTTGGTAGCTCCTGTGTCCTGAGATATTAGTTGATCAACTGATAACTCCAAGTTCTAAGGTTTCAAATGATTAATTGAAATACATGTAAACTAGTCTTCTCGGGTAGCCATTGAAGCTCTTACTTGATCGATAATTTTAAGATCATAAAAGATTAGTTGAGGTGTATATAAACTAGTCGGATAAGTCCAATTATAAAATAAAAAAATAAAAAAGACTTCACAAAACAGTAAAAGAGATTAAAATTGACAATTTCAATGGAGGATAAGTTGCTTCCTTCATAATTAAATTATGATTTTGGCTGCTTATGCTTCCAGTCGTTGTTGTGGTCCCATGAGGACGAATATTTATATTAAAAACAAAAATAGTTTGATATTTTAGAGTTTTGACAAATCTTTTCAACTTTCCTTGGTGAGTCTTAGTTGCTAAGGTAATACGTGTCAAAATATAAAAATACATTATCCTTTCACCTTATTTAGAATTAAATTAATTATTCTTTTTCATGGTTTATAAATTAATGTTCATTTGAAAATCAAACACAATAAGAACAAAAGCTATTTTCTATAAATATATTCATTTTTTTTTTTTTTTTTGTTGACTTGGAGTGTCCGAATCAGCTTACATACACCTCAACTAATCACCCGAGGCTTTGAAATTGACAGTCGAGTAAATTCCTTCAATGATTACCCCTATTAACAACCTAGATGGATCAAACTCAGGATTTCTTAAATAATATATCCAAAAGTCCTAGTTAACCGCTAAGCTATCCAATAGTGGTTCCTTTTTAAATTTTGAAATGTCTTAATTTTGTAAAATAAATGTTGATCATCTAATTAACACAATTTATATTTATTCGGTTAAATGAAACAGTTAAACCCTAGCGGAATACTAACAACAGAGACCAAATTGTTACTCATGATACCCAAGGGGAACACTGTTATCTACCGATATGGCGATATCTCAAGGGTGAAATTGTAATAAACTCATCTTCTTTCTTGTTTTACGAACACTTGTTTTCTCAAAACAGTTCATACAAGGAAAACAAGGATAACTTTAATAAGTGGCTTTTATCAATGTAAGCCCAAAGCTTTGAAAATGCAAGTAGTTGAGACAATGGAGGAGGAGAAGGAGAATGTTCAGCAAAAATCCTTTTGATTTTATTAGTTATCATTAAACAAGACATAAAAAATATAGCTACCTAATAGATGAGTTCCAATATAATGCAGCTATTATAAAGAAATGGGCTACCACATGAATGCAATTTGATGGCAACCCATAATTATAACTATTACAAATAATAATAATAATAATAATAATAATAATAATATATGTACAAAAATAAATGAATTTAAATACCCAATTCCATAAAGTTAAAAAAAAAAAATAATAAAAAAAAATAAAAAAAAAAATTGGTTGAGGTGGAAATAAAGCTACAACACTCATCTTGCCTTAATCTTCCAGACCTGCAATGGATTTTCGAAGGGGTAAGAAAAAGAATGGTGTTTAGGAGGACAAAATTTTAATTTGAACCAATGTCCCCGCCAACGACAACAGCTTTGCGATGATTTGAATCAATGTCCTCGCCAACCACAACAGCTTTGCGATGACGCCTAGATCCAGACCTACGGCTACGCCTTGGGGTGACCCGTCTCACAGGACTACTTACAACCCTTGCTTCAGAAAATTCATTTGGCAATTCTCTTGGTGTGTCACGAAACAAAGCTGGTGGTGGTGGTGGCAGTGGCGGTGGCGGTGGCGGTGCAGGTGGTGGAGGGATAAAAGAAACAGGAATGGGGGGCAGAAAGATGTGATCTCTATGATATTTCTGCAGGCAGCCAAAGTAAAAAGGGAAAAATGAACAGAAGTACACGAAAGAGGAATTCAGTAAATTTTTACGTAGTCCCCCATCTAAAAGTGTTTGTTTCAGTTTGAAAGAAAATAACCATAAAATAAACAAAATAATCACCTGAACTACAAAATTCCTTCTTTCGCAATCCAAGAACATATTAACTGTCCAATTTGTCTTTGCCGCAATCTTATCCCTCACAGTGGAAAAACTTATTTGGTCCCTGGAAGTAAAACGATCAACTTCATTGTACCAAAGACAGGCAAAGAGATTGCTGATAGGAACATGCTCTCTTATTACGACACATCCTTCAGGAACATCTGCATAGCCATAGTGGGGGAAACTTCATAAATGACAGAACAAAGAACAGAACAAAGGAAAAGGAGAGAAAGGATCTTGCACCTACCACTTGTAATTGGAAGCTTAGCCTCAGAATATGGGGTCAAACCTTCATTTTTATAAAACTCGACCTGAAAGTCGATGGAAGCATTATCATATTTCTTAGCAGCTTTATTTGCCTCAGCTTCCACAAATACATCGAAGCGCTTATAATGTCTGGAAATTGAAAAAGTGGCGTTTTTTCTCCACAAGTGCCTGAAAAATAGATTGAAAGAAAAAAAGAAAATTTTGGGTGAGAAACACACATTTAGTCTGAAAGGAAGAAAAAGGAAAACTAAAAGGTATAGCTCCCCTTCACATAACGAATGCTAGCATGTAAACAATGCCGTAACCCCTATCTATGAGGAACCCAATCTCTGATTACAACACTCACAAGCAGAAGACTTCTGAGAACCTATCCATCATGTTTGTGTGCATGGATATCATGTATTTTGCTAAATTACCCAAACCCTTTCCTCACACATAAAAAGGTAAAACAGAAAAAAACAGAACATGACTTATAACCACATTACTTTACAATATTAAATTCCAAAAAGCAGCTTATATGTGGAAGCAGGACAAATTTAGAGAATAAATCAAAAGAAAAATTTAATCAAATCTCCCAACTGAGAGTATACATCATTATCTACTGCTAGTAAGTTATTTAAGCGTCGTAACAAAAGATTGACAATGGCCCTTTTTTATTGTATACCATACAAGGCAAGATAATGTAGAGTACATTTGCTAAAAGGTTTGACATTAATCCTTTTTTAGTCATGTTTGTAACACAGGCTGACCTCACCTAGGGAGATACGTACAAGAAAAAATCCTAAGAATTTAAAATCTACACAATATTCCTATCAATAAAGAGAGTACAATGACAATATAGTCATACAGTGCAATCCCAGATGAAAAGAGTTAATAAGAAAAGGTAACAAGATCATGTTAAAGGTGTCTTTCAAGTTTATATTATTAACATATGGTCTTTAAACAAATAGTAAATTACATCAGGCGTTGCATTAACAATGTCAATCTAAATTCCTTAAACGGGCATCATTAAGAGATCAAAGGATCATTTATCAACACTCACCGATCTCACTATGAAATATAGATGCCTCGTGTGGAGTTTAGAGACCTTTGACATTTGATAGATGACTTAGGGTCAAGAACATTACTTATCTCCAATTTGCACATGGATGCCTTTGAGCCTAACTTCAAAGCAATGAAAAAGCACTTTGTATTTCCCATGAATTTCCATGTAACTAGGAATCTTCTAGAAGGAATATCTTCTAGAAGGAATATCTAATCTTAAGTTTGAATGAGAACACTGTATATGATAAAACTTAAGAATAATAAGGCCAAAACATTTAACCAGAACAATACGAAAGACAATAATCAAATATCATTTCAATGCTTATACCTACATGTGAACTTTGTCTAGCTTTTCCAAAGTCATACATAAATTAAAGATTGAGAGAATAACTGATTTACCTTTCAAGAATTTGATATGGATCCACAACAAGCTCAAGTTTCCCATCAATCCATAATGAAAAGCGGGCATTGGGGAACAACCTATGTGGTAGAAGCTTTGGAATCTGAGATGAATACATACAGGTCAATAGGCATATTAAAGTAGCACAGCCTTTGGACACAAAGCCCCTTAAATACTAACAAATAAGTTTAAAGTAAAACCAAACCTCAAGTTAAAATTTTATGTGATATAAGAAAGCTAATGCAATATAGTCATGTGCATCAGAATCCATATTGCAGAACAATGACCAAGGTAAAAGAAGATGCAACTATTTAAAGTTACAGTGCAGCAAATCTGAAACTGGACAACCTCTTAGCAAATTTCTGATTTAAAGAAAAAGAGTCTGGAGAAGATTTACAGCATTTACCTTCCCAGTCCGTCTTGCATCCATGTAAGGAATATTATGAATAACAACAATTCTCCATATCCCCATCATCTTGCTGCTGTCCAGACCACTATTAGCTTTCAAATATGCTTCTGTTTCTTCATCAACAAACATGAAGAAACATACAGTCTTCCTGGAATATTCACTAATATTACTTGGCTGGTTTACATCATCAAAAGCCCCTGAACAATAATATAGTTCTTTAATAAGCAATCCATCAGCTTAAACAGCAAAATGCATACTTAGAATTGCATATATTGAGCAGTACCAAAAATTGCTGATATAACAACAACTCCACGGCATTGCTCCATATCAAGAAGATCCTCCTCATCAAGGTCATATCCTGTCCCACGTCCAGGTTTCCCTTTGACAAACCTGATTGATACACATTATGAAAAAAATGCACAACGAACTTATATGAGTCAAGCTTCAGGAGTAAGAATTTGCCACAAACATAAACAACTAAAGGAACTAATTTATCAGGTAAAGTTTCAAAGAAGACAACTGCCAGGACTCATAAATTTTTTTAAGAAGATTGAGAAATCATACCCACAGTGCACACTCATTGACTCTCTTATGTCATAAGAATCAGCTCTCTGTGCTAAAGTAGGATATCCACCAAAGTCAGAGCCTCCAAATTCAGTCTCTCTGTTCAACTCTGGCTCAACAATATATGTTAAATTCTTAACTACCGGAGAAAATGAGGGGACACTTGGCATTAAGGAAATGGCTTCTTCCACAGGAAGGTAACATACTGAACATGCTGAAATATAAACAAGCAGAAAATTAGCAACATCATATGTCAATATGAAGAATAACTCAGCTCCTAGTTGCCACTGCTTTCTAGAAACCTATAATGACTCCGTCTTTACACCCAGAAATTTCTGTTTGGCAACTATAAACAGAAAATTGGATGAAAGAAAAGAAACCCCTGAATAGGTAATAGAAACTTACACCGCGGTCCAGATCTTTTTTTATCTGCTGGTGGGGGAGGTAAAGTGAAACTATTACATGGATGCCCTGGTGGAAGAGTGTAACCCAGAAAATATGAAGGAGGAGGAGGGGGGAAAATCCTATTTTCAATTGTTTCCCCAGTGTTCAATAGAGGATTCTGATTGTCCACAATGCTAAAAGAATTATGATTGTCCATATTGTTAAAAGAATTCTGATTGTACATATTTTGAGTTTGCTCTCTGTATATTGGTGTAGGTTCAGAATAATTTACAGTAAAGTTGCCATTGAAACTAATGTTTGGTACATGGTCGGTCTCCCGTGTATCTTCACCTGAAAAAATATCAAAAGCATATATAAGATAAAAGTGACATCTACTAGTACCCAAAGGCAGAATGCAACAACAATAGCTTCAATGAAGGCGTCATTTAGTGAAAACCACAGTATGCAGGCACACAAGTAGTCTCAAAACCAATCATTCCTAACACTAAAAACCAACCTTATTGGAAACATTTCAATTTTCAAAACACATTACGCATAAAAAAATAAGTAAACATCAAATACTTTAAACAATTGATGGAGTCATTACAAGTCAAAATTAATCATCTGTATCAACTGATGACCAATATTTCCTCAAATGGAAGGTGCTGAGGTGGACACTAACCTCACAGGACTTTTGGCAGTAGCAAATCAAAAATTAAACCCAAGGAGAGAATGATCACAACCAAGCTTCATCCTATTTCAACCACTCTCAACATGCAAACTGAAAAAAAAAAAAAAACTTTTCACAATTCCCTTAACCCAAAGTTAATTACAAAGATAACTAAGCACCATTATACTCCCAAATCTAAACGTGATCTTAAACAAGAATCCCCTTAATTCAAACCAATAGTATAACACAAACTAAACATACTTTTGCAAGTTCTCTAATCAAAACACTTAACTAAAACAACATCTAATCATCAATACAATTCAATTATCAATACTTAAACAATCCAGCAAGTTCATACAAACCTTTCCCAACATACAGAACCCAGACGAAAACGGCTGCGGAGATAACAAATAGGAGCAGCATTCCAACCTTTTTGCGGCCGGCAAATTTACAGATCCAGGGCACCAAACCCTCCTTCTCCTTGAACATCTTTGAAGGTTTAATACGTGTTGAAGTTTGTTGAACAGGCAACAAGCTTCCGCCGTTTTGTAACTGTTGTTTATCCAAAGATCCATAACTCCCAGAGCGAATCCCCAATGACCCTCCAGTCATTGTCATCTAAAACACACATACACTCCTATCATCTCACCCTCATTCACGACTCTTTTTCAAAACTCACTGACGAAAACTTCACAAACTCAATCCCAAACCAACTCAGTTGCTCAAAATATAAGATACCCACCTCACTAAATCCGTCCCCAAAAACTCTGGGGCGCCTCTAAATTCCAATCAAATGTGCTTCAACAGATTGCTCAACTATACGTCCATTCAATGAAGTGTTTTTACCTCTAAAAATATGTTTTCAAAACTGAAACTCAATGAACTTTGAGTTGAATAAACAAACTGGTACTTGACAAATTGAAATAAAAACTGAGACTTTCAGATCAAAGTGAAATCTTTAATATAAATCTTTGTTTGAAACAAAATGGGTTTGGGTTTTAAACTTTTAACTGGGTATACGAACTTTTCGGCAGAAATCTAAAGTTTGGTGAAATCAAGGTTTTCCCTTTTTTTTTGGGGGGGGGGGGGGGGGGAATTGAATCTGGGATCAAAAAAATAATTTTTTTGGTAATTTTTTGGATGTCTTAAATGGCAAACAAAAAAAACAAAAAGGAAATTTGACACGAAGGTAAAATCTGATAGGTTAAGTTGCAGCCATGTGAGTGCGATGTCAGAGATCAGACGGTGATGGTTTAACCGAAATTATTATAGAATAAAATAATGCTAAGTCGATTTTAAGACAAGACATATGTCAATGAGTTAAGGTTAATTTTATTTATAATTAAACAAAAAAAGGTAAAATATGTAAACAATATTCGTTGAATTTGAGGAAAACATAAACAAAAAACATAAGGCAACAAGACGGGGAGCCTTGTTGTTAATGAATTGTGAATCTGTGTGTGTGTTGGATTTGTTTTTTGTTTTTGCTTTTATTTTTATTTTTATTTTTTTGGTTTTTTGTTTTTTGTGTTTTGTCTTAAAACTCAATTAGCAATTGATGCTTCGTTTACTGAATTCTTAAACATTTGTTGGCCAAATAAAAATCAAGATAGTTATTACACAACTACCTTGATTGGATTTTGCATCTTTTAACTAACTATATTCATGCCCAAACATTCAAAAAAAAAAAAAAAAAAATCAATAATTTTTGTTTAGTAATTATAAAACATTTTGTATTTTTAAATATTAAAAAAGTACATATTTTTATCAAATTTTGCATCATTTAGTAGTTAATCTCTGTGGCGATACCATGAAATTTTTAACTACCGTGTAGATCAAAGCTAAAAAACCAAAGCGGATAACGAAGACACTCATTCTTAATTTGCAAGTTAAAGATTTCATAACATCAGTATTTGAGAATTTTCATATATTTTAGACTTTTTTTTTTGGTTTAAAAGTAATTAGTTCTATAAACTAAATAATTAAAAATTGCACCCAGTAAAATATAATTAAAAATTTAATTACTAAATAATTGATTGATTTAGTTCTTTAAACTTGAGAACAAGAGGATCTTTAAGATGCTTATGTTGTGAATTTTTTTTTTTTTTTTTTTTTTTATCATCGAGAGTTTATAGATTAGTTTGTGCATATCTCAACTAATCCTTCGAAGCTCTGAAAGTCTGATCAGATAATTCTCCAATAATCACTCATATTAACGCTTGGAGGAACTTAAACTCAGGAGTTTTGAGAACCTTATTTTGTTCTTCTACCATCAGAGCACCTAGTCGTGGTTTACATTGTGAATGTTGTCACCCTCTAAAATTGATAAATTCATTGAACAAAAGAAAATGTGTTACCATGTCAATGTCTTTATTTATCCATTTGATCCATAAATATTATTTCATATATTTAGAAAGGATATAATGCTCTTCACCATCAAAGGGTATTTCAATTAAAAGGGAATAGAATTTTCCATTATATTAAAATTCCTATATAAGTCCAGCCCATATCTATAGTTTCCTTTTATAATAGAAGGGCATTTTTTGTGGTATGCCTAGATATAGCAAATTGTGTAAAAATAAAAAGTTTCATATACATATTTGTGTTAAAAAAGCATATACATGAATTATTCATATTAATGAACCAAGTGGTCCTTCAAATCATGAAAGAGGAAAATTAAATAAAAATTTTATTAGGGAATGTTGCCACATGATGGGGACATTATCATGTGCATGTTCTAGACTTGGTGAGATTTATATCACCTACTCATCAATGCTTAATAATTTTGATCAAACCCTTGATTAAATTTTAAATATTTTTGTATTGCTAAATTTATTTAATAAATTTTATAACATTTAATTAAACAAACTTTGAAATGTAAAAGGTATAGTGTCGGTCAGGATATATAATAATTTAAAAAAAAAAATGTTTCTAATAACGAAAAGACACATCATATAAATGGCCTAATTTTACTTGACTTGAGATGCAATTATTTATACGAGTAAACTATTTTTCCCACCCAAGGTTTGCCTTAATGTCAAATTTTCACCCAAAATGTTTCAAAATACCACTTTCCCTCCTAACATTTATATTCTGTTAATACCCAAGATACACTTCACTTTCTCAGTCGACGTTCGGTGAGTTAACAGGAGCCAAGGTAAGAGGGTTTTTGTAGAGTGAAGGCCAGTGAATCGAATAGTGGTGATCGATTGGATATTCGTCTCTAGAATCAATAAAAAATCATCTAAAAATAGAAAACCCTAATTTTGAGGTGATCGAAAATCGATTAGAAATCAGATATTGGAGTGAGATGAGTTTTGTATAGAGGAGAGCGAACGCTCAGATGGTGGTGATAGAAAGAATTTTTGCTGTCGGAATCGGTTTTGGATAGTAACAAAATATTAACTTTGGGTGAAAAAATGGTATTTTGAAACTTTTTAGGTGGAAAATGTTATCAAGGCAAACCTTGGGTGGGAAAATGTCGTTTACTCTTATTTATACTATAAAGCTAATCATATTTTATTTTTGAATAAACGACGTCTAATGAAGTCCATATAAGATAAATAAATAATTTTTATAATATAGTTGGAAGGGCTCCATCCTTCATATTAGGAAATATAATTTAATTAATTAATAATTTTAAAATTAATTATGTTTGAATTGTTCATAGCCGGCGTCGGCTTGACCATTATGACTTAATTTGGTAGCCACGACTTTAAATTAAAATAAAACAAAGTCTAATTTGACAGGCAGGATTGCTTGCAAAACCCATGCACTTAGCCGTCACATTAATCTATTGACGTTTCTCGTCGCTTTCTGTAACCACTAAATTTTCACACGTTTTCTTTGCCAGCCAAACACGAATTGTTGTCTTCAAATGTAAGCTTTTTTAAGCAATCGTTTTGAGGAAGAAATCTGCCTTCAAAATTTTTCCATTTTTTTCTTCTCATTAATTAAATTAATTCTTTTTTTTTTTTTTTTATAAATTTAACTCATTTATTATTTTTATTCAATATGAATTTAATTACAATAAAGATATTTTTTATTTTTTACAACTGAGATATCCATAGCTTACTATGGGTTTACTTACAAGCGGAACCCACTTAATACTCAGAGGGGGTATGTAAGAACCTACCACCACAGCTTACCAGGCAATACGTGGGTGCTGATGGGGATTTGAATCCTAAATATTTGGTAAAGCCAAAATCAATTGCGCCTTTTACCATTAGACTACCACCATAGCCGGACAATACATGCTCTAAAATATATTAAGATCACAAAAATATAAATATAATAGTATTAATAAGAATTCCTATACCGCATAGGTTTGATTAGCAAGATCCTTGCTGACGTTAATTTAAGAAATCAGAGGATTTGAAAAGTAGTAGAGTTATTTGAGTCCCAATAAATCTCTTTTAAGTCCCTGATTAAATAAATTTATTTAATTATATTATACTCCAAAAAAAAAAACCCTTATCTTCTTCCAATCAAACCTTTAATGGAGTTTTGACTTTTAAATAATTTAGAATATAAAGTTTTAATTGTTTCTAAATAATATTGAATCCCATCATTAGCAAAATTGTCTAAAATATAGAGATAATATTGCAAAATCTTAATTAATTAGCAAATATAAAGAAACTAGTTTTTTATACCATGAGATAAAAAGGAAATATAAGAGATTAAAGACATAATTTAATTGTTTTTTATATTTTATAGATTCTAACAAACCAAAAACTCAAAAGATTTAATGGAATTTGCTTGGTTTATTTTATTTTATTTTATTTTAAACAATGATGTTATTTAGAATTACAGCTTTGCAGGTTAATATAAGCGAGGAAGACGATAAGATCAATATTGGAATAAAGTGTGTATTTAATTTTATTTGATAAATTTAATTCAATATGGGCTTAGAAACAGTTTGGATGGGGCTCAGGTCCAATTGATAAAGCCCAAACATGAATTGAACAAAATAGAGGGCTCTTCCATCTTAGTCCTTAGATAAAGGTATTAATAGTATTTAGAAAAAAAAATAAAAATAACAATGATTATTAATTCTCATAAATTTTAGAAAGGATTTATAAACATGGTTATTATTTTGCCCGAGATCTCAAATCTTTTACCGTCTTATGTTTCCATATAGTTATCAACTCTAAAAACACTAACAAAACTAACATAAACACCTTACTTGATTTAAGTTATGTTATATGATGGGTTTTCATTTAAACAATGTACTAAAATATTTCCAAATTAGTATAGAAAATAAAAGAAGAAGAATGTTTGTTTGAAATTAACAAGAGTCCAGTGGCAATGCCTCCAGGATTTTGGTTTTGTGTTGCTCATTCAAGAATGGCATCATGGAACTGGGGGAAAATCAGATTTGTTGCTGGATGAGTGTGAATATGTTTTGGGTTTGGGTATTGCTAGTAATTAGAAAATGTAGCAGTCTTTGACTCAACATTATTATCATATGATTTCTTATTTGAACCCAAGTTTCTTTCTGTCATCTTTATCGGCTGTTTTCGCTCCCAAATTCTGTAATATATATCCTTTTATCTGCATTAATGCTTGTTTTTCTTAGTTGGATTTTGGAATTAAAAAGTAATCTTTCATCCTCCTAAGAGGAAAACTATTGATGATAATTCTAAACTAAAATATTAAATCCAGGAGAAACCGTGTCTGTCATTACTCCGGTTTGACTTGCCGATAAGAATCCAAAGCATGCAAGAGTCTGACTTCTCACATTTTGACTCATTCAGAGGCTGACTTTGAATCAGAAAAAGCCAGTGTGAAAATGGATTTAAATTTAATTTTGGTGGCGTTATCTTTTTATCTTCTGTGTGTAAATGTCCTTTGGGTCAAAATAATTCATTACCATTCATTGATTCAGAGTATATAGAGAACAAACAAAGCCAGTTTGACCATGCATGTAATACTTGTCAATGTCTATTGTTATGCCTGAAAATATAGGGTTGATGCAAGACCCAGTCAGCATAAAAAGTTAGAGCTTAGGTAGGCCCGCAGCCAGTCAGAAGCAGCCACATCGCATGATGACATGAGC